TCTCTCTCATCATTGATGTTTCCATTTCTCTCTCCCTCTCCCGTCCTCTCTGAAATCAATAAAACTGTATCTATAATAATAAAAGTGTAATATGCTAATTAGACCAGACGTCCTTCCAGACGTCCTTCCAGACGAAGCCGGGGCTGGGAGGGAAGCCCAGGTCCCGGGTGCCAGAGGGATGGTGGTGCCAGCAGCCGGGAGAAGGAAGGCCTACTCTTGCACGAATTTCATGCAACGGGCCTCTAGTTTAAAAATAAAAAGCTAAGCTATTCTCATGTTCCCAACTAACGTGGCTAAGTGGGTGACCTCCAGATACACCCCGAACCCTAACTGTTCACCTGTGTGCCTAAAGGACTTCTCTGCTTGGACGATCAAACCATAGGCCCCAAATGGAGCTCATCGCCTGCTCCACTCCCCCAGCTTCCTGGTCAGTCACTGCATTCTTCCAGCCCAAATCTCTGATTCACCTTTGATTTTCTTCCACCTCTTAAATCAAGTCAGTTACGGTGAAGGGTCAGTTCCTTGTTCTCCAGATTCTCCCTTCCCTCTCCACTGCCCATCCCCACTTCCGTGGCTGCTGCAGGCTTTCCACCATGTGACATGAGGACCACTCGGCACAGGAGGTCGCTTCAGTTGAGTATTTTTCACTGAAAGAGTAACGCATTAATTCTAATGGGGATTAGAAACTGTAATTATCAAATGAAACTTTTACTTCCACGTAAAATATAACCTTTTCTTTTTAATTCATTTGAATAAAGAAGTAGGTCAAGTTAATGGAAAATATGACATAAATAACAGGACAGGTGGTATACAGACCTGGGTAGGAGAACCTTGAGGGGGGGGGTGCTGATGCCTAGCAGCGCTGGAAACCACTGCTGTGTGGGGGTCCCCCATCACCTTCTATTTGACCACATCGCCCCTCCACCACCTGCCGGCCTCCTGGCCTCGAGACTCTTCACGTGCCCTGCAAACCACAGCCGGACCCCTCTTCCAAAACCACTCCTCTCATCACTTTTCTCTCCAAGTCACAAACCCGTGACCTACCCCATACACTCTGAACTCCACCTACGTTTCAGATCCCACCGGCCCAGCTCCATGTTATTTCTAGTTGCTCCCCGAAGTGACAGCATGACCAACCTCACACTGACATTTTCACTCCCAGCTTCATGCCGGGGTTCATGCTGCCTCCACAACCTCCCCCCACCCCATCTTTCTCCTTCTCTGTCTCTTGGAATCCTACCCAGTCCCTCACGACACAAGCAAGTCCTCCCTCCAGGCAGCCTTTTCGAACTGACATTCTTCTACTCTCTGACCTGCTATTCCACTTACACCAACCGTATCCACCACCCCGCTGGGCTCTTGATTATATGCTATTATTTACTGTTTTCTAATGGTCGACTCGTTGAGAGCTGGTCCTGTCTACCACTGCAGGAGGAGGCCCTTGGTCTACCACTACAATAAGAGGTCCCTGGAGAGTAGAATCTTATATCTTTGCAGACATTTGTGTACGTGAATATATATATTTATTCCATAGTTATGAGAGGATGACTCACATTAGGAGTTCAAACCATCTCTTCATCCAACTTTTTAAGAGAAGCCATGTTTTATTCATTCCTCCAATAAACACTGACGGAGTGCCTGCTGTGTGCCAAGCTCTGTGGTTGCTGGCAAAACAGAGATGTGAATAAAACACGTATGGCCACTGAGGAACTTGCCAGCTAGCACAGGAGACACACACGTAAACTCCCGATGCCACACGACGTGACCAAGTCGCCATAGCACAAGTACCTAACAAATGCCAGGAGGGATTCCTCTGGAGAGGATTGGAGGAAGGCTTAGAGGGAAGGGGCGAGTGAGTGGCTCTGGAAGGGGGAGAATTTCTGGAGCCTGGAGCACAGGGTAGTGGGGGGGAAGGGAGGAGGAAGAGAAGAAGCGCTTGGAAAGGTGGCCTGGTCATGCCATGAAGGGCCTTGGCCCAGATCCTCATCCCCAGGCCGGAGAGACAGTAAAAGGAGATGGAACGCGACCAGCTTTGCTTTAGGAGAGGTTTAAAAAACTAAAACCTCCTCTGGGCACATGTGGAGGAGGAATTGGACTGGAAGCAAGGTCAGTCTGGAAGATATTGTAACGGAAGAGAAGATTTAAACAACAAGAGATGAAGGAGGGGGCAGATTGTAGAAACATCTAGGAGGTAGAAATCATTAGGCGTTTCTGACCAACGGGTTATGCATTCCACTGTCAAATAAAAATAGTCTAGGGATGAACTACTTAAGGGAGAGTTTATTATCAACTTACAAAATTACCCATGTCATCTCCTTCTTGCGTTGCTGTGACTAAGGTTAATTAAGAGTTGACTAGAGTCTATATCAGGGGTCCTCAAACTTTTTAAACAGGGGGCCAGTTCACTGTCCCTCAGACCTTTGGAGGGCCGGACTATAGTTTAAAAAAAAAAACTATGAACAAATTCCTATGCACACTGCACATATCTTATTTTGAAGTAAAAAAACAAAACGGGAACAAATGCAATATTTGTATTTGCATGTGGCCCGCAGGCCGTAGTTTGAGGACCCCTGGTCTATATCCTTACAAACTACAAGAACCTCTACTTTATACCATATAGATTAGGCACACACAGGTTTCCAGGACTGATCTACGAAAGCCTGTCCCAAATTCCCGCATCAGCAAATCGTCCCAGCCGCGAGGATCTCACCAGATGTTGCTTCTGGGTTATACCTGCCCTAAGCATACGTGATCCCGTACCAAAGAACATACCATTGTCTGAACTGTCCTGACTCTCCAGGGTATAGGGAGTTTAAGCCAGAATTGCTCCGGAGGTGTAAAAATGCTAAGGGTTTCATACAATATGCTCATATTCCTTTTTTCGAATAAAAAAGCTCACCAGAGTGTAAAAGGTATTGAAACACCCAGGGAGGTGACCTTTGGTAAGCACAGTGTTCCCCTGGGAAATAAAGAATAAAGTCATTCACCACCGCGCGCAATATCCCTCACGTCCACTTGCCTGGTGAAAGCAGTCAACACGGGTAGTTTCAAATTAAAACCCGGCCGGGGCAGCGAGGCTGAAAACGGATCTCTGAGAGCAAAGAGGGGAGCGAAGGCAACAGGACGCTGTTTATGGAAACGTGTATAGGATTGTAACTTGCCAGGTGTTTATCCATCATGTCCCCACACCAGTCCTCTGGCCGCCAGGACAGGCCCTAAGGTGCAGACAGTTATTGCAATGTTTGGGGAGGACAGGAAATAGGATTCCTTTGCAAAATGAGCACTTCCCCCACACGCCCCCACATATGGAGGCACATGACTCCAATAAGTAGAAAGGGCAGAGGTCATGCCTAACGTTTTCTGTGTAAGTGCTCGGAAACCCCGTGCTGGCTCATTACAGAGCTCCTGCCTGGGCGGTTCTGTGATGGGAGCGTGGAGCTGGGGGACCTGTCCAGACGGGAGGGGGTCATGTGACTCGCCAGGAGCACAGCTGGTTCGTGGCAGGCCCAGATCAGAACCTCGCTGTCCGTTCTCCGCTCTCAGAAAATCCCCCCCCCACCCCTGTCTCTTAAAATAACAGGACACGAGGAACTGGGACACCATCAACGGTGCCCCAGAACTCATTTCTATAAAATGAAAACTAATAAACTAATGAAGGTAGTGTGCTGCCCAGTCCTCCCTCTGTTTTTAATAGATCACCGGGGGGGGGGGGGGGCAAAAAAACGGATTTACCTTGTCTTAATATGTCAGTTTGGGGGCTTTTGTTTCATCTTTTCAAATCCTTTAAAACGATATTATGAAAAGTGCCTCATTGCTCTTTAAAGTGGCAAATATCAAACTAAACGTGCCATGATGGGGGGGGCGGGGTGTCTCCTTCATAAGCAACACTTTCTATGAACAGGCTCCGTAGAACTTTATAGTGGAAAACCGCTTTCCAATCTTGACCAATAGAATGCCCAAACCTGGTGACATTACATGTGGGATGTAGAGGAGCACCCAGCCTCAGGGCTAGGGAAGGGGGCCGTGAGTACAAGGAAAAGTTAATAGCATCATTTGTGCCAAGGGGTCAAAGTTCACACCGTTCTAACAGAGGATCAGCAAAAGGCTCCGGGCCATGAACACCATCCCACGGAGGTACATGAGCATGTTTTCCTCTGTACAGCACTGAGGACCACAGATAGCTCCCTCTGCGTGGGGA